AAATCAGATCAACGAGGAAAATACTTGAACCGGCATAATAAAATATCTGAAGAAGCTTGCCAGTCAGCCCAAGATCATATTAACAGCATACCCAAATACACAAGCCATTATAGCAGATATAAAAATCCGAACAAAGTATACATTGATCATGATCTCAATATATCGTCTTTATATCACGATTATTATAAGCCCTGGTGTGCTGAAAAAAATATAATACCCATAAGTCAAGATAAATATAGAAGAATATTTTGTTTAGAATTTAATATTGGATTTAAACTACCTAGTAGTGACACCTGCAAAATATGCGACGAATTTGATGTGAAAATTGAAAACTTTAAAGGAGTTCAAGATTCTTTGAAGCAGTTACAGATAGAAAAGGAGTTACATTTAAGGCGAGCTGAAGCAATGAAAAACACTTTAAAAGATGAGATAAAATGGACTGCTTCAAAAGATACATATATATTGTCATTTGACCTTCAGCAAGCACTTCCTGTGCCTTCTTTAACAACGGGCCCAGCTTTTTACCTGAGAAAAGCTTGGGTTTACAATCTTGGTATACATGATTGCGTAAATGACAAGGGCTATATGTATATGTGGTCCGAGAATAATGGTAAGAGAGGCAGCGATGAAATTGCTAGTATTCTCTTGAAACATTTTAAAGAGCGAGAACACCTCCCTAAAAATCTCATCGTTTATACGGATAATTGTGGAGGCCAGAATAAGAACTGGGTCTTGGTTGGCTTGTGGAAGCAGTTGGTGGTAGAGGGTGTCTTCGATTCTGTAGAGCATAGATTCTTAGTAGTAGGACATACTCATCTACCGTCTGACAGAGACTTTGCTATGATAGAAAAATATAAAAAGAAAATGAAGGCAGTATATGAACCAGCAGATTGGTATGATGCAGTAAGGAAGTGTAAGAGAACCAATCCTTTTGAAGTTACAGTAATTAAAAGAGAGGACTTCTTTTCATTTAAAATTTTGGAAGAAACTATAACAAAAAAAAAGTTTACGGACGAAAAAGAAAATGTTTCCTTCTGCAAAGTTTGTGTCTTTAGGTTCGACAATGAAAGCCCAAATATAATGAAAATAAAACATTTTCTAAATGAGAGTTTTAAAAATGTAAATTTGGGAAAAAGAGGTATCAGAAAACAATGTTTAGCAGACTGTCTTAAGCAGAAATATGCGGAGCCAATAAAACTAAATCCGAAAAAACTTAGTAACTTATCGCTTTTGCTACCTTATATACCCGAAATAAACCATCAATTTTATTTGGAAATTGGTGCCAAAAATTTCGTTCGTCAAGAAATTGAGGAACCATCAACCGAAATAGAACATATGGATGAAGATTACCCCTTAAGTGATGACTAAGTTCTTATTTTTAATTGTTGTGTTATTTTAGAATACCGTTTATTTTTTCATGTAAAAGGATACAAGCCATATTTTTTAAGCAAATAAATCTTAGAAAAAAAGGTCGGTATTTTTTTTTTTAATTTCTTTTTAATTGTTGAATACTAAATAACCAATTTTATCTTTTATACCTAAAATCAAATAAATTGTACATAAATTGGATTTAAAATAATTTTTAAAATTGAATTTCTCTAAAATTATTGTATGTGGCATACATCCTTTTCACGCCAAGGTCTTCAATTATAATTTTAAAAGGACAAACTTTTTAAGAATGAGCGAAATGATGAGAGATATACTTTGGGATGAGGTAACAAATGAAAATAATGTAGATATTGCTCTTGATATTTTCTATAGAAAAATTTACAATATATTTGATATAACTGTCCCAAAATATATAACTTATAAAAATTATGATAAATTTCCACAGTGGTTTACACCGGAAATCAAAAAATTATTAAAATATAAGAATAATTATAAAAAATTAAAACATATATCAGAGTATTATAATAATATATATTTGGAATCTAGGCGAAAACTCAAATATTTAATAAATATTGAACATCGAAAACATATACAACAAACTGAGCAAGCTATACATAATGACATTAACTGTTTTTGGAATTTTGTTAATAAAAGTAATAGTAAAACGGGTGGGGTTGAGTCATTTTACTTTCAAGGTAATAAGATATTGCCGAGTGGAACAGCCGAAAAGTTTGCTGAATATTTTGCATCTGTTTATAGAAGTGAAAAATCGAAATACGACATGCATAAATCAATATATTTTAATAACCATGATGTTTTGAGTTTCTCTGAAGTAAGCGCAAAAGATTTTGACATTGCTATAAAGAAATTGAAACCAAAGAAGGCCGCCGGTGTTGATGGAATTCCACCATATATTTTAAAAGGTTGCCAGGAGTGGTTGAAAAGGCCACTAATTCATATTTTTAATTGTATTATTAAAACCAAGTATTTTCCAACCAAATGGAAACTATCTAAGATCACTCCAATTTATAAATCAGGCAGTAAGAAAGATATTGAGAATTATAGGGGTGTTTCATTAATGTGTGCTCCATCTAAGGTTTTTGAACAAATTATGTATGTTAAAATTTACAATCATGTTAAAAACAGCATAGTCGATCAACAACATGGATTTATGTCAGGGCGATCTATAAATACAAACCTAGTATTATTTGGTGAATCTGTAAGTCAAGTTTTTGAGGAAAGGCAGCAGCTTGACATAATTTATACTGACTTTCAGAAAGCTTTTAACAGAGTTAACCATGATATACTACTAGCAAAATTACATCAATTTGGGTTGTCGGGTAATTTATTAGAGCTTTTCAAAAATGATCTTCAGGATAGACAATTTATAGTAAGGCATAATGGGAATACATCCGGAAAGTTTCATGCTAACTCAGGGGTGCCACAAGGCTCTAATTTAGGACCATTACTTTTTATTTTATTCATAAATGATCTTCCAGAATACATTAATTTTTCGGACTATTTATTATTTGCAGACGATTTTAAGATGTTTAAAAAAATACAGACAGTTAGAGATTGCGTAATGTTGCAAAAGGATATTAATAACATTCATAAGTGGAGTATTGAGAACAAATTAAACTTTAATGTGAATAAATGTTGTATAATGTCCATCTCTCGTAAAAAACTAACCATACATTTTGATTATCTAATCGGTTTGGATAATTTAAACAAATTGAATAAAGTTAAGGATTTGGGTTTAATATATGATAATCAATTTCGTTTTGGATCACATATTAATAAATTAGTAAATAGTGCAAATCGTTCACTGGAATTCATTTATAGACAGACTTCCAATTTTTCTATTAAAACAATTAAAATTCTATATAATGTGTTAGTTAAGCCTAAATTAGAGTTTGGATGTTTGGTGTGGGGAGATCAACCACAAATACATTTAGCGCCAATTGAAAAGACCCAGAACAAGTTTCTTAGATACTTGTATTTCAGGAAATATCATGTGTGGCCAGATTATACAAATGTAAGATCATCTAGATTAAAGGCAGAATTTAATATTATTTCATTAACAAGCAGACGTATACTAACAATGATGCTTTTTTTGTAAAAAGTCATAAATAATATATCCACTTCAAGTAGTTTGCTACACAAAATTCCCTTTAAAGTTCCTTCTAGGTTTACTAGATATCCACTCTTGTTTGGAAAATTAAGACAGACAGTTTGTTCCCCTCTTGAGTCCATGTTAAAACTAGCAAATGTGATACACAATATTAAAGACATTGATTGGACACTACCACCTGAAAGGTATAAAAAAATAATTAATGAATATATAGCAGATTTTAGTATGTAAAAAAATATATGTCGTTTATGTGTTTTTTTTTCTCTTTTTTCCTTTTCTTGTTTTTTAGGGCGCATTATTTCTTATAGCTTAATAAAAAAGGATTTATTTTTTTTTTATTAGTTTAAGTAATTATTATATTTAACGAAACCATGTACTACCTACTATCTATTTATAACATTTATTAATATTATATTTATTGTACTTACTACCCTTATAAAAAGGTTGTAAAACCTGTTTGGGTTTTTAATAAATAAATAAATAAATAAGGGATGTATCATCCCTAATAAAAATGTCTAAACTGCTTTTTCAATGGTTTATTTCACGATCAAGTATTCTCAATTACAATGTTGCTGTGGTATTGCCACTGTCTATTAGCGTACTACCCACTGCGCTGGTCTGTCTTCTCCCGCTCGTCCATCCTGACACGCATGTGTATGGACTTCAAGAATGTATGGTGGGGAGTATAGAGAAATACCGCTAACAAATATAGAGATAGAGATGTTAATCTATTTCTCTCTAATTAGAATCTTTCATGCGATATTATCAAGGCGACACAAGCATTGTTTACTGTCCTCTCTGTACTACTTTGAGATCTCGATATTAGCAGAATTTAAGTTTATTCATAATTTTATTGTATATGTGAGGCGGAAAATTATATATTATATAAATATCTACCTCATCAGTAAATTGAAATATAAAGGAATAATCAAACAACATCTACAAAATGTCATTATCAAGCTGCGGCCTCAAACCCAAAATGATGGGTTGATGAAAAATGATTTATATAGTGTCGAATTGTGCAAATTAATAAAAATGTAGTTCCAATTAAAACATGTAGTCCATGAAATCCTGTTGCTATAAAAAATGTAGACCTATAAACTGAGTCTGAAATAGTAAAGGTTGCTTGATTATATGCATATCCCTGTAAGATTCTAAAGTAAATTCCTAAGATTACAGTTAATAAAAGTCCTTGAAATCCTTGTTTAAAATTATTTTCTATAATTCTATGATGTGTTTGTTCAGGGTGACACGAAGGCTAGAGCGAGCTCTGAACCGTGTCCATATTTTTACCTGGGCTTGCTCAATTGGTGCTTATTCGCTTACGCCACGTTGAGCGTATCGTTCACAGTTTGAGAAACGCTGATGTAGGATGTAGGTAATGCAGATATAATCTTTAACATGAAAATAAAAAACTGGCATTTATTTGATTTAATTATTTAATCTTTTCTAATATGTACGCCAAAAATATGTTTTCGGTTTAATTTGAAGGAACACTTTGACAAAGAGGGTAATTTATTACGGTACAATCTTCATTGAGCCAATAATTAACAGCATTATATGTCTCAGGAAAGATGGCTAAACAATACTCGTTATCATGTTTGTAGTCTGGGGGATTATTCCAAAAGAAGGTCGTTATAGCATTATTAGTGCTTAACCATATCCACTGGCTTGATGCTGCCAATCTCGTCCCTGAGGTCCACAACGCAGTATAAAGACCTAAAAGTAAAAATTATTATTATTGTTTATGATTTACTCCAATTCTACATAGCAAAAAAAACCTTTCTAATAAGACCTTCAAACATCATAAGGGGCATTTATAATGTCTAGAAATCGAAATAAACAAATCGTGAGAAATTAAGAAAAAATAAAATTTTGCTAAACTTTCTAATAAAAAAAAAACAACTATAAGTAATAAATCTAAAACGCGGCAACGTGATAGTTTGGCAAAAATAACGAGTATTTGGTGTTAAAATATTCATGATACTTATTAGATTTAAAATTTCATTTTAAAAGTAAAATTATATGCGATGGTTAAATCCTAATAAACAAATCATACAAATTCAATATTGACAATTAAAAAAAAAAAAGAATACCTTAAATATTCTTAAAACTTTGATCACTTTAAATACGTCTTTCATTTCTCATCAACCTTTGATCATCCAGTGGATACACACCTATTACTTGCTTTAAAACAAAAGTAGTTAACGAATGTGTGCACTTAGCTTAGATCAACAAACAAAACTTGTATTCCGTTCAAAAATTCTTTTATTATAAAATGCGCCCTGTTAAGTGAACGTATCTACAGAAATAGTAATTTCGAGAAAATAAAAGCGGAAAGTCCTACTTTGGCGCTTAAGATAAAAAGTTGCCGCACGACGCGCAGCGGAGTGCGGCATTTTATCGTAAGCGGCAAATAGCTTTTCGCTTGAATTACACCCAAGATTTTTTTACGATTACAGGATATTAAAAGTATATAAAAGTATATAAAATTTGTTTTGCCGAATGCAAATCTTACAATCAATTTATAGGTCCGCGGTGAAAAGACGAAAAGTGAGAAGTAAGAGAATGGATAACGAGAAACATTTTATGCAAATACAACTTTATTTTATCAATGAATAAATGTGTAAGACAGGATATAAGTGATGTGCGCTTATAATAAACAATGACAATTTGAAAACTCTCTAAGGTACGTACTAGCACTCCAGAATCCAAGGGCACTATATCTAGGAGGATATCAAATAGAAGAGGGAGATTTACCTAACTTGAAGAACCTTCAAATCCTACACTTCCTTGAGGAAATAGGATTGGAAGGGTCGCTATAGGCATTGAGACATTTCCTTAGTGCAGTGGCGACAGAAGGGGACACAATAGATATTTTAGGTCGCAGTGTATTAACACCCCATTCTCAACATAACATAACAAAAAAATTGGTAAAATTGTTTTTAAAAAGAATGACATAACTCACACTTGCATAATAACTACGAGCCCCTTCCCATTTCAGTTGGCCCACCTATTAATATTTTCTTTATATAACGACAATAAGAAAGTATTAAAGATTACATGCTTTTTTAAATAATAAATTAATTAACAATGCATTAATTTAGAATTATATTAGAACTAGAACTAGAAAACATAAATTTTTTATTTATTTTTAAATTTATTAACACATGGAGCATTATTGCATAATTGCATTATTTCAACTTGAATTCAATTCATTAGAAAATAAACAAAAATCGAAGTTAGCTTTGAAAAAATAACAAACAATATTGCAAATAACTGTCACAAGACAATTTAACCTCTTTTAAGCTAATTCTGTTTAATAAAATGGGTAGAGGAAAAATCATTGACGAAAAAATACGTTTTCTTGTTATAAAACATTGCAATTCTGGAAAATCGAACTCGGAAATTGCAAATATATTAGATTTATCACGATATAGTGTAAGAAATATAGTTAGAAGATACAAAACTACTGGTTCAATCAGCCCAAAGCCCCGTCATGTTAGAAAAAGCAAGATTACAAATGCCGATAGATGAGCATTGAGAAGAATTATTGAAACTAACCGTCGTGCTAATTACCTTGAATTAAGTGCTCAGTGGAGTGATGCTGTTGGAAGACGAATTTCGCAAATTGGGATTTGCGACTTACAAAGTAAGTTTATAATAATAAAAACAATAAAAAACATGGATTGAAGACACTAAAACAATCAAATATGTTTGCTTAAAATTGACAATTTTGTTACAGGTTAAAGAAAAACCACTACTAACTGCGAAACAGAAAAAAAATCGATTAAGATGGTCAAAAGAACATATGAGTTGGACTTCTCATCAATGGGATGCAATACAATGGAGTGACGAGGCCCGATTCGAAGTTTGTGTTGGAGATAGCAGAAGTCGAGTTATTCGCAAAAAACATGAAGCGTTCCATCCAGACTGTCTCAAAAGAAAAGTAAAATTTCCCGCATCGGTCATGGTCTGGGGCAGCATGTCATCTAAAGGAATAGGGAAATTGCATTTTATTAAAGAAATTGTAAATACAAATAAATATTTGGACATTTTGGAGGAATCACTTTTACCGACTATGGAATTATATTTGACATCAGGGAAAGATTTTGTATTTGAACAGGATGGAGCAGGGTGTCACACGTCAAAAAAAGCTCTAAAATGGATAGAAGACTTCGGTGTTCCACTTTTGGAATGGGTTTCTAGTAATCCTGATTTATCACCAATAGAAACATTGTGGCATGAGATGAAAAAGGTACTTCGAAAACATCCTGCAAGAACAATATCTGAACTTAAACAAAAACTTCAAGATATATGGGATTCATTTACACCAGAATTTTGCCAAGGCTTAGTTAATACCATGCCGCAAAGAATTTCAGCTGTAATAAACAATAAAGGTGACGTTACTCAATGGTAAACTTTAAAATTGAATAACGTTTGATACCAACTATTTGTTTATTTTTTTTAATTTTATATTAAATATTTTAATGTTTTCTGCATATTTTTTATGATTAAACGATATTAAACATATTGTTTAATGAATAAAAATTGGAAAGTTCATGCAATATTTATATTTTTATTCTTTAAATACGAATTTCCTAAATTTCAATAGGTGGGCCAACTGAAATGGGAAGGGGCTCGTATAGCGTACTTTTCTGAAAATATAATATCTTCCAATAAATAAATCACTTTGTATATTTTGAAGTTTAGAGTTACATATCTTTCATTTAAGCGCTGCTAAAATTTTTACACATATTATTCTAAACAGGTTGGTAACTTGGTCTGAAACTAACAATATTCTACCGGAATCACAAGCCGGTTTCCGACCGGGATACGGTTGCATTGATAATGTGTATACGTTAATAGCGGAAAATACATGCAATATTTGTTGACTTCAAACGTGCTTTTGATTCCGTCATCCACTCCTTGCTTTGGCACAAGCTCTTTAATTTGGGTGTTAGTTCTAGAATTATAACTGTAATACGCAAAATGTATGAGAATGCAGAATTCCGTATTAATTGTTCTGATATATTTTCTAAATCCTTTGAACACACATCTGGTGTTTTACAAAGCGAATCAATTAGTCCTCTACTTTTTGCTCTATTTATTTCAGATATTAATAACTTCTTTGCAACTAGAGTCGCTAAGGTATTAATATTGGCAACAAAAATGATGTTACTCTCTTGTTATACTCCGATGACCTTGTTATACTCACAGATTCAGAGGTGGATGTTGGCATAAAATTTAAATTATTGGAAGAATACACCTTATTAAACCATTTAACAATTAACGTTGACAAAACAAAAATTATGCAATTTTCTAAAACTTTGAATTCTCATTTCCACCTAAAGAATAAAACTATAGCATTAACCAACAATTATATTTACTTAGGTGTTACCCTTTCTTTATTTTGTGAGATGGCAAATGTGATTACTAACAAATCTAAGCAAGCAAGTGGTGCAATCATTCCAATAATGGCAAAAGCCAAAGTAGATACTTGGTACCCAAGAATTAAATTGTTTGAGTTCTTGGTTATAAGCACAATGACAAACTGCATTCCTGTTTGGGATTTAAGATATAGTGACATACTTGAGCGTGTACAAACCAACTTTTTAAAAAGAATTTTATCCGTGCCAAACAATACACCGGATTATGTAATAAGACTTGAAACGGGCCGAGTCAAACTTCTTTATAATATTTTTAAAATGACCCTTAACTGGTTACTCAAAATTTTATCTATGCATGACAGCAGACTTCCAAAAATCTGTTTCTTCAAACAGAAGCGCATGTTAAACTGTCAGGAGAAATTTAACTGGGCCATGCAAGTAAAAGGTTAATTTGAATTTATTGGTGCTTGCGCTATTTGTAACAATCTTTCATATATACCTTTAAAACGAAATAAAAAAACATTGTTCCAATTTTATGAAGGATTATGAACGAAGGTTTAGCAAAGGTGCGAAGATCATCTTTCCTTAATTTTTACAATGTATTTACAATCAACCACGAGCCTAAAAATTATCTTTTCCTAAAACTTCCTTTTCAGATTACTTCGCACTATAGCACAGTTCAGGCTGAATAATAAATATAATCAAAAGTTCACTTTAAATGGATTGTCATACACAATAAATACTAGAGAAATTTTGTACTGCTTGCAATAAAAATGAACTAAAACTATTGCAACTTTTATATGGAACGTTCTAAAACTTAGATCATGAATAATTTAAACAAAGATAATATGATAAACATTTTATATAAAATATTTTATCTTGGTTTCCAACAGGAAATCATAAATAATGAAGATATGCACTTGTTAATGAATCTACAACGGGTCTTCTCTTTTTTGAAAATATAAACTTACCACAAACATAACAAAAACGTTCAGAATTTTGTTTATACTTTCTACTCGACATTTTAAATCAATCCCAAACAAGATAATGTATTTGTATGTATTTGCACCCATACAGGGTGTCCATCTATAAATTGACACATTTTAACAACATAACTCGAGAATTAAAAAAGATATCGAGATGCAGTTTTCACTAAACCTTCTACATATACTCATGGGCGTCGTTTGGGGGGGGGGGGGGGGGGGGGGGGGCAAGGGGGGGGCAGTTGCCCCCCCCCTGGCTTTTAGCGACTTAATCAAAAATGCGTAAGATTATGTATACGAACAACAATCTCATATAGAAATAATAATATTAAGGCTAATATAGTTG